ACTACAAGCTTGATTCTCACTGTTTCTACTACTGTTTTTAGTCTGTAGATTCTCTAAACTGTTTTTTTCAAAACAAAAAGAAATAGTAATCAACTAAACTTTTAGTCTAAAGTTTACAAAATGGAAATGTGTAAGAATGTTATCATTTTTTTTTCATTTATTTTTATATTTTTTTATTGGCTTAGTAAAATAACTAATGAACTTTAATTTTAAATTCAAATTCTCTTCTTTAGGCTGTGAACTTAACAATCTACGTGAAATGGTGGTTCAATCTATAAGTCAAGAATGTAAGTCATACTTTGATAGACTTTTTAAATTTTTAAATCCGGAAAAATGTATAACAAACATTTTATATTTCAATAATTTTATTTATAGAATCTTAAGCTTGATGACCTTTATTTTATTTTCACAAAGCTAGATATTATCAAATTTCAACTCTTTGATTAACAATAGATTTATAGTAATCACTCAAATTAAGTTTAATATTAATTTTAGCTACCAAAGTGTTGTCTGAAATAGCAACCTGCAAGAATATTTTGGATTTTCTGAATATAAATGATGGCATTATTTCTCTCAAATATCCTGATTTTGTGTTAACCAATAGCCCTTTTCTACAAATTTGCAAAGACAAAAATAAACATAACATAACATTAGAAAATCTTTCATTATTTTTTACAATCTACTGTAAGTATAATATCTCTAGAGTGATGCTTATAAGGACCTTAAAAAAGTTAAAAGGTTACATGGTAAAATTAAATCGAGCCAAAAATTTGGACTTTGAAAAACATTTTTTAAGCTCTGCTTTATCTTTTAATGGTGCTTTTTCTGATGTTGTTGGTTTGTTACCTTCTGATACTTGTTCTACCCCTACTTCTATCTACAATAGTGAAATTGTTCCAAATCAAGTTACTGTTTTTACTGTATCTTCTGATTTAAATTTGCAAATTACTAATGATGAATTGTCGTGTCCTGTTACCCCAACTTCTATTATATACATCCCTTTAGAAAATAGGTGTGAAAAATTTCTTACTGAAACGCGTTTTAGTGAAGAGAATCTTCCAGTTTCCAATTTAGATAAAAAACTACCTTTATTTTTGGTGATTTGACCTATCAAATAAAAAGATACAAACGGAGAATTAATCACCTTAAATTGCAAAATAGACAAGTTAATAGAAGATGTTATGAATATAAAAGAAAATATCAAGCAATCTTGTCAAAATATAATGTTCAAAATGTCAACAAAAGAGACGTTAGAAAAGATTGTAAGATTAATCAATTGTTGCAAATAAATTTAAGATTAGAAAAAGAAATTGATTTGGCTAGAAAGCGTTCCCATCAGATTGACAAAAGGTCTGGTATTTAAAGAAAAAAATTGAAAACACTATTTTGAAAACATCTGATGAAACAAATGATTCATTCTTAAAGGAGAGTTTGAATTACTTTGAAAATCTTACAGAAGAGCTGAAGGAAAGAGTTGACATTTTTGAAAAAAATGTAATTGACGTCCTTTTAAAGTAAAAATGTTTCTATTAATAATATTGAATCTGTTATCAGAACTGTACTGAAAAAAAGGCTGGAATTTCATGTGGCACACTTTCAAAAAAATCTTTGGCTTCTGAATTTTTTAGTGAAATGAACCTTTTAGCAAAAGCTCAAGTGAGAGAGGCTATGTTGAATAGTACAAACAATGTTCTTCATACAGATGGCACAAAATATAATTTTAGAGAGGTTGGTAGTTTTCAAGTCACAACATCATCTGGTAGCTACACGTTTGGGATAGAAGATATGTTTTCGGGAGAGGCACAATTTTATTTTGGAGAGCTAAAAAACTTACTCACTGATATGTCTAAGATATTTTCTCCTGACAAGGAAAACTACGAGAATGATCTTAGGAAACTTATTTTTTCTTTCAAATCTTTGATGACAGATCACACTATTGTTAATTCAAGTTTTTTTCACTAATTTAGACATTGGAGAGAAGCAATTTTGCCTTTTGTTGTTGAAAACTATGATCAGCTTCCTTTAAATGAAAAATGAAAAATTTCTCAAATGCATCATGTTTTTTGTAAAAACATGGGATAACCTTACACGTTATCCACAATCAAGTGTTTGATCATTTATTTTCTAATTGTAATGACCTACTTTTGGATGCCTTTATACAAGAATGTCTTGAAGTTATATGTTGCACATGTTCAGTTATGATTCAGAGTCAGTTAAGAGACCAATTGCCTGGAGGAAAATATTACAATCCGGGTGATGATGTGCTTGAAGAAACTCAAAACTGCCCACGTACTAATGTTGTGTCTGAACGTGACTTTGCTTCCTATGACCGCAGGTTAAAAATGAAACCTAATATGACAACAGTAGCTGCAGCTGGTGTGATCATGTTTAACAACAACAAAACAGCTGATTGGATAGATGGAAAATCACAGGAAGAAATTGAAAGGCTAGTTATATTAGCAAGGCGAAATAGAAAAGGGTATATAAGAAAGTACAGAGAGAAAAAAGCAAATATATTGCAGTACAAAATTGATGAGATGGATAAGCGCAACTTAGAAAAGGAAATAAAGGAACAAAAGGCAAGCGAAGAGAAAGAGTTTTTGACAACAGAAATTGGAAAGGATGGTGGTTTAATTTTGTGTGAAGAGGATTTTGAAAAAATTTTAGGAACTGAAAATGAAATTGTAATGAAGTTGCAAAGACAAATTAAATTTCGAAAAAAAGTATTACAGCAAAAATTTCCAGAAAATTGGTTACAATATGGAGAAAAGGCAAAAGGCGAGTATTACAAAAAATTTGGTATTGATAAATTAAAAACCAATCAAATATCAATTTTTAAATTTTTAAAAGACGTCCCTGAACGCGCAACTGCAATAAAATGTTCAGTTATCAGACAGATTAATGAAAGACATGAAATGTTGTTAAAATTAAAAAAAAAAGTCAGATTAGAGGATGACGCTAGGTTAATTATGGAAACTGGAAGTAAAATAAGAACAGGCACATCAAAGGGAGGGGTTCCAAAGTTTTTAGGAAAAAGAATAAAACATAAAATGGTAGATAATGATGGCAAAGATGTATGGTATTCAGGGCTCGTGGTAAGTGTCCTAGACGACAATGAATTTGATGAAGAGTGTGAGTTTCAGATACTTTATGATGGATATGAAGATAAGTATGACATTGAGTTGGTCAAAGAGTGGAGGATGAAATAGGTTGTGGTAGAGGGAAAACCTGATGGTTATGTGGAAGGCGAAGTTTGTAAAAAACAAAAATGCAGTTAATATCATTTTTGACACAATGGGGATTTAATTTATTGTATTTATGTTTGTTATTATTCTTATTATTAATAATATTATTGTTATTATTATTTTTATTGTCATTCAATTTAATGTGTTCTTGTTTGTGTTCTGTTTGGTCATCTGGAGCGGTGTTGGCGCACCGACAATTCTTTATATGTATATTTGTTTTCTATTGGACATCTGCCGTCATGGTGACATACCCGTAAGTCATGCTTTCTATTTTTGTGCTGACATACCTGTCAATATATGTATCCTTGTGTTTACATTTTTTTGTGTTTGCATGTATGTTTTTGTAGGTGTGTCTGCAATTATTTGCATGTTTGTTTTTACTCACTTGTTAGTCACTATATGTATGTTTGTGTTTATGTACCTGTTACTCATTATGTGTATGTTTGTGTTCTGTTGGACCTCTGGAGCGGTGTTGGCGCACCCGTAAGTCATTATATGTATACTTGTGTATATGTATCCGTTAGTCATTATGTGTATGTTTGTGTTCTGTCAGATCTCTGGAGCGGTGTTGACACACCTGTAAGTCACTATATATATGTTTGTGTTTATATACCTGTTACTCATTATGTGTATGTTTGTGTTCTGTTGGACCTCTGGAGCGGTGTTAACGCACCCGTAAGTCACTATATGTATGTTTGTGTTTATGTACCTATCAGTCATTATGTGTATGTTTGTGTTCTGTTGGACCTCTGGAGCGGTGCTGACCCACCCGTAAGTCATTATATGTATGTTTGTATTTATGTAGCCATTAGTCATTATGTGTATCTTTGTGTTTATCTACCTGTAAGTCATTATATGTATCTTACTCTTTTGTTGGAACTATGGAATGGCTATAATTTCATTTGATAATGCAGGTTAGTCGTTTTGATCAAATTTTTGTTTTTTTTATTTATGTTTGTGTCTGTTGGTCTTGTGGCACAGCGTTGAAACAACAGTAAGTCATTGTATGTATATTTGTGAGTTGTTCCAACTAGGCTGCAAGCAATTATTGTAGGAGTTGGAAGTTACTGGAAGAGAAAAGATGAAGTTTGTAGAGTAAGATAACAATTTACAGATGACTTAAAAGATTGCAACTTATATGAAACAGGGAAGCAAGATAAAGGAAGCGAATTCCAAAGAACTGATGTTCGAGGAAAAAAATAGAAGAATAAGAGTTTATGGAGCACTTAGAAACAGTCACAAGAGAATGAATTTTATTAGATAAGCAAGGGACTCTAGCTATTTAGAGCAGTGCCCATATTTGTAGAAAAGAGAAAGAGAAGCACCATTACAATGATGTGATAATGGTTGGAGGTTGGCTGCAAGAGCAGGTTCAACTATGTTTACAATGCATTTTTGCTCCTTGTCTAAAAGAGAAAGGGTGTCATTAGAATATCTGCCCCAGCGTTTTTTGCAGCGTTTAGTGCCACAGGGTCTGTGTGTTTTGTGATTGTGATGTTATTGCTGTGATGTTTTGTGTTGATAGACAACTTGGCTTACCTTCTCGCTGGTGTCTATCGTTAAAAATGATTATTAGGTTGTTTCGTTACTGAAACTACTTCTAATCATTCACTAAAAGCCAAGAGATAAATTTTAGACAAACAATATTTTTTGTTTTAATGTTGTTTTCATTTTTTCATCTTAGGTGTTGTCGATAGTTCACAAATCTCTAAAAATAAGTTTCTTATTTTATATTTATTTAGTTTTAATTGTTAATTTATAACTTTTTTTAATTTTTAAAATGAATTAACAAATATTTTTTTTAAATTATATTGTATCTAATGTTATTTGATGTATTATTGTATGTATTTAGATGTACTGTTTTTAATAATAATTTTATTACAATTTTAGGTAGAGTTTAAATTTGAATTTTAGTTTTATTAAAGAATCTTCTGTCTGTTAAATAGGTAATTCTGAATGATTTATTTCAATGCCCTTACCCAGTGATTTACTAATCGGTTTGTAAATAAAGCAATAGTTTTAAAAAGATTAATTAATTGGATTCCACAATCCTTTATGCATATAGCATGAAGTTTTAAAATTTAACCTAAATTTTTTTCTTTTTTTTTAAAAGATTTAAATCTAAATTTATTTTTAAAAGACTAGGTAAATAAATAAAAACATTTCAGTCTGTAAAATTAACAATTCTGGATAATTTTGACAGATGCAAAAAAAATTATGGCATTTAATTTTCTTATAGTATAAAAGAAAATTAAATGCCATAATTTTTTTTGTATCTCTATCAAAAACTTCAATTTCAGACTTCTTCAGTCTGTAAAATAGACGATTCTGTATGATCCAACAGATTCAATAAAAACTGGCACACTATTTAAAATTTCAAGTCAAATATAATAACTGTTCAAATATATCAAATATATTTAAGGTCGATATGCCCAATTGGTTTGTGCATCCCTTTTTCTGTAATTTAATGACCGGTCTGTAATTTATGCAATAATTTTTTAGTAAGATCTTCGTTCATATACCATATTAATATTGTTAATTTCTAATAATTTTAAACTTGTCAATTTGATGAAATGTTTTTGAAGCTTTATTATATAACGGTCGTCATATGTGAATGGTAACCAGGCTAGTACCGGTCGTATGGTAGCCAGGCAGAAACCAAAAGGCAAGTATCCGGCTAGTTTTCGACATCCTTCAATAACACGTCAAATTTGCATAAAATTTTGGACGTGATTACTTTAATATATTTATTATTTGAAATTAATAACAGCTTTTTGCAAATACGGATAGAATAATTTTAACAACCCAAATGAACCGTGTCTACTAGATTGATTTGATTTAATTTTTACCATTAAATACGATAAGCATGTTTGACAAACTTGTTTTTAATTTATTCAAAGCCGAAAAACCTTTAGTTTATGGAGGTTTTTAATATCCTTAGTTTATTTTATATTTCTCAAAAAATAAAAATTATATTTTATGACATCACTTGTTCACAGATACGTCATTTGTATCGGCATTCTTGTCACAAATACATATACGTATTAATATAAATAAAAATAAATAAATTTAAGATTTTAAAATTTAAAAATATATACCTACAACTCATTAATTCAAATACTGCAAAAGAAACATAAAAAAAACATATATTAGATGTAAAAATCAAATTATTAATTATTCTTTTTCTTTAAATCCAATCTGTTCCATTACTTGAAGATTTATCTTTGAAACCTCGCAGGCTTATATTCGCTTGATACCAGTAACCTTCAAATCGTTCTCTAATTGCGAGATCATCAAAAACATTACGCAGATCAATTTCTATCGATTCACTTGTTGAAACCTTTCTATCTGAAATACTTTGAACAGTATCCAAAGATAGATTAACTTTTTCAGTCATGCTCGATTTAAGATATATATTATGAACAACTCCACGAGATGGCAACCGATAATTAAGCTTAGGTAAAAAAACATGGTCGTTGTATAATAAAGTATTTTTTAAATTTAGTAATACAAATATATTTTGTGGTGATACCTCCTTTAAATTGTGAAACTGATCAGAAGTCACTACATCTTGCAATAGCCTTCGACAAGTTGCACTTAATAAAGTTGCTGTATCTTCCATTGGAATATTTTCTTTCTCCGCGTCATCAAAAACAACATCATCAATATGTATGACAATTGCTTCTTTAGGACTGATAACAGTTGACCCAAATATAAAAACAACTTTATTTATTTCAGATCGAATAACTTTAGTTAGACTAGAGGTTATCTCTAAAAATCCTTTCACAAAACAAGATTTTTGTAACCATCTCTTATAGTTTGGATTTCTTGAAACTTTATCTCTTGACTCGCTCAACTTTTCTTCATCAAATATCTCTTTTTGAATACTTATTAAGGGTTGAGGAATTTGATAACGTATAAACAAAATATGCTTTAGAAGTTCATTTAAAGCAACCACAAAAACATCTCTGCATATATTTTTTTCAAAATTATGTGTAAAGCAAATGCATTTTGGTTGTTTATTTCGTTTTAATTTTGTATCCATTCATTTGACGTACAATTTAAACAAGTTTAAACAGGTTCTTAGCAATTTAAATTTAAAAATAAATTTGTCTCAATTTACATAGAAATTTAAAAACTAGATTAAATTTAAAAATTTTTAAATAAACTTATTTAACAAAGACAAAAATTGTAAATTTAAATAAAGAGTCAAAATTTATTTAAAAAAATAAACACTTTATAAAGCGAACAAAGTATTTCAAAATGTATATATTTTTAATCGATTATATCATAAAAGAATAAATCCATTTAAAATATAACAATGAACATAAAGTTCAATATAATGAAATTTCTAAGGTACTCAATATTTAAAAAAAAAATTAAAAATAGATAAAAAAATAAAATAAAAATAAACAAAGGTAGAATACTTTTTTTTTTAAACACATGAAAAGTACAATTTGAGATATTTTTCTATACATATATTTTTTCAACGAGCTGGAGAGTGGTAAACTAGTTTGCGAGATTTTAAAACGCTCCATTTGTGTCGTTTAACATACAGCGAGATAAGAATCATTGCCCCACAAATTACCAATGCCTAAAAAGATATATTATTATCTCTTTGCGGTTATCACAACAGCCAAAATTATTTTGTAATGTTTTATGAAAAAACAGTCAATATACGATCAAAATGATGTTTTAATAAAAATTATAACAAGTTAGAAAAAACTCATGATTTAGGCGAAACTAAAAAACTATTAAAAATATCCTTTTGTTGGCGTTGACAACATATACACATAGAATTGACAACATACATATATGCAACTATTAGAATATAAAAATGTGACTAACTTAATCATCACCCTAATATACATGTATAAATAACTCACAACAAATAAACTGTACACCTTTGTTTATTTATAATTTGAAGGTATAAAATATAATACTAGCCAAAGGCTTTAAAAAAAATATAATAGCTTAAAGGCACAAAGCTTCAAAAATCCATGACAAAACATATTTACAGAGAAATCATTTTTTTCGAACATGATAACACCAGGATTGTAAAAATTTGCCTTAATCCTTCTATAATGTTTATATTTACAAAAAAAATGGCAGTATAGAGTCTTCCATAAATCGAACCATTACAAAACCACTAACCCCCCTGTCCCAAGAGCGCGACGTAATTTATGGACGACACATGGAAAATCATCGATGGAACAATAGTGGCCTATGCCCATTTTAGCATTTCAGATGCTTATTACAAAAAAAAAAAAAAAAAAAATTAAATTTCAAATAAATTGAAAAAACTTTAAAAAAAAAACAAAAATATTTACCATTTAATGTATAAATGGTAAATATACCAACTAATCGATTTTTTTTGTTACCCTGCTCTAGAGCATGTTAATGTAAAGTAATGCAAAATGTAAAAACGCAAATTAAAAAAAATTTAATAAATGTAATGCGAAAACACTATTAAAACATTATTTTAATTATGAAAACATTAAACTCTTCTTCCATTAAAAGTAACTATCAAGTCGCTCTTGATATTGAATAAACTCTTCTACATGTTCAAATCTATAACATTTAGCTTTACATTAAGAATAAACCCATCGTGCTGTTTAGCAACCTGTCTGTAAACAATTCAGAAAACTTGGATGATAGGAACCTTTGCGGTTTCTTTGGATTTTTATTGTTACAAGACAGATACTCTTGAATAAAAAAAACCTTAATTTGAGTGACACAACATAAAACCTTAATTTGAGTGACACAACATAAAACCTTCATTTGAGTGACACAACATAAAACCTTCATTTGAGTGACACAACATAAAACCTTCATTTGAGTGACACAACATAAAACCTTCATTTGAGTGACACGACATAAAACCTTTGCGGTTTCTTTGGATTTTTATTGTTACAAGACAGATACTCTTGAATAAAAAAAAACTTAATTTGAGTGACACGACATAAAACCTTTATTTGAGTGACACAACATAAAACTTTCATTTGAGTGACACAACTTAAAACCTTTGCGGTTTCTTTGGATTTTTATTGTTACAAGAAAGATACTCTTGAATAAAAAAAACCTTCATTTGAGTGAATTTATATTAACCACAACCACAACATAACCACAACATAAAACCTTTATTTGAGTGACACAACATAAAACCTTCATTTGAGTGAAGGTTTTATGTTGTGTTCACTTTGATTCTACCATTAGCATGTTTACATTTTCAATAATATTGCATACAAATAATGAATTTGTTAGAATTTTATTCTTAACTGTGTAAATCTAATTTAAAAACAACCTTAATTTGCCTTCCTATTTGATGTTATTAATAAAATAATATTTATAGCAATATACAATATTCACATGTTTGTAATAACTGATAATTTATAATTACTAAATAAAGATTAGCATATTTTGATAAATTAAAAATAAACTTTTAAATCCTGAGACTAGGGCTGTTGAAATAAGTAAAGGCCTGTCTGGACACCCATTAAATAAAAAAGAGGGTACTCGGGTACCTGTTAATTTTTTAAAATAAAAGTTGCAACTATAAACAGTCAATAAAATTTTTTTGTTCAACGTTTAAAGTTGTTCTTTTTCACATATGCCTAAATACTAACAAACAGAATAGTTAATTTGGAGAGGATGGATACCGATCACTAGCTATAAAAAAGCTGGAAAACGAAAATGAATTATTATCTGAAAGAATTAAAACTTTGAAATTCCAAAAAAACAGTAAAACTTTGGATAGGAGCAAGTTTGTTTGATAAAAAGGGTACTTAATCAAGTGATGAAATCAATATTATCAACTCTGTAACAAATGAAACAAGTTAAAATAATATTATTATTTTTGGGCTAACTGCATCCAAAAAAGCAGATCTTAAAGAGGAAAAAGAAGAAAATAAAGTTTCAATAAATAAGGTAATAAACAAACTTAATGTGAATGTTACCATAAAGAATGTTATAAAATTGAAGCCTAACAATTTTAGCAATGCTCCATTTATTGTAGTGCTAAAGGATAAAGCTGAAAAAAACTTAAGAAAATAAATAAATACTTAAGAAGTTAAGAAAATCTAAAAAGTTAGGAGACTCAAAAGAGTCTGAAAATGTATACATCAAACTCGATCAAACCAAAACTGAAAGATATAATTATACTAATGCAGATGGAGATATTTACATGGTATTAGAAATAGTAAGGTAGTTAAACTCAAAAATAGCAACTACCAGTTCAGTTAACTACCGATATCCAGCAAATTAACTCTAACAGCAACACCAATTGTTTACCAACCATCTCACAAAACCAACCTTTAAAAAACGTTTAGTGTGCTTACTTCAATGTTAGATCAATAAAAAATAAACTACATCACCTACACAATCTTCTTGAAAACAGCAATTTTGACATCATCACTGTTCAAACTGCATTATTATGGAATCCAGTATGAATAGCTAAACTGGATTACAAACTTTTGAACAAGTCATTCTCAATGTGTCTACGTCGGTAACTCATATTGAAACAAAAATTCTTGTGAAGAGCAAAATACATCAAGGGACTGTTTTGGAACCCATCTTATTTTTAGTTTTGATAAAAGATGTAACTTTATGTATTAATGGTGATTGCAGCATTAAGTTGTTTGCTGATGAGAGCAAGTTATATTGTCAAAAGTTTGACAACTTAATATAGCAACCCAAAAATGTTTTCATCTACGCTATGGAAAAGTTTTTCCCCATTAAGTTCATACTCAATGAACATTGATACACCTATTGAGTCTATTAATTCAATTCAAGATATTGGTATAGTTGTATCTTCAGATAAGAAATTTTCTAATCAACGTTCTTTCATTGCAAGCAAGGCACATTCTATTCCTTATTTCTTTTAAAATCATAACTTCATAAGTAGTAATAATTTCAAGCTTCTGATGAAAGCTTATAAAGTTAATGTTCAACCTGTGATAGAATCTTGTACCTCTGTGTGGAATCTTTTAAAGGATATACGTCGGTTTAAAAAGGTTCCGAAATCTTTTACTAGAAATGTCTGTAAAAAATGCCGTATTCATTATAAAGATTATTCTTTAGGACTTAATAATCTAGAATCTCTTGAATGTCATAGGATAAAATTTGATTTTTTAATGACCCATAAAATTATACACAACCTTGTAAATCTACCTTTTTCTGAGTTTTTTACATTTGCTCCTTCATACTATCCTACAAGATGTCATGCTTTGAAACTTAATTCATGTATTAAATGTAAAAATGATACATGAAGATTTTTCTACTGTGAAATCATGATATGGAATTCTTTGTCTTTTTATTAAATCAAATTTAAAGTACAATATTTTTTATTTTTTTGTTGTTACATGAGTAACTTTGATATTATCTGTATCACCTTTTTGTACTTCTATATACAAATAGATCAGAAAATAAATATTAAAGTAAAGTATATAAAGAAAAAAATGACAACAATTGCTTTTACAAAACATTTATTTGTTAAAAATCAATGAACACTAATTTATTATAATTTTTAATAATTTTGAACATATAATTTATAACTTTTAATATATAATTTATAAAATTTTTTATCTAATATATAATTTATAATAATTTTTTATAACATTTTAGTTACTAGAATAAGCATTTTAGATTTATTCGCCTATAACAAGTCTATTTAGATTTATTCGTCTATAATAAGTCTTTTTAGGTTTATTTGTCTATAATATTTCTTTTTAGGTTTATTCATCCTTTTTATCCTTTTATATCCTACTCGTCCTTTTATATCCTTTTTAGGTTTATTTGTCTATAAGTCTTTTTAGGTTTATTCGTCTATTATAAGTCTCAACTTGATGAAGAAACTAAAAACATTTTAAGAAAATTTGCTAAACTCTTAAAAATAGTAATGTCTGACAGAGTCTAACTAATAGACCAGCTAGGTATATAGATAGGAGTTTAGAATATAGATAGATAGGAGTTTAGAAACTATAATGATAGATAGGAGTTTAGAAACTCAAATAACTTTCTGAAATTCTGATGATGATAAAGAAATGGTAACTATTGAAATTCTGATGATGATAAAGAAATGGTAACTATTGAAATTCTGACGATGATAAAGAAATGGTAACTATTGAAATTTTGATGATGATAAAGAAATGGTAACTATTGAAATTCTGATGATGATAAAGAAATGGTAACTATTGAAATTCTGATGATGATAAAGAAATGGTAACTATTGAATTTTTTAACAAGATTATCAAGTTTTTTTTTTTACATGTTTATATTGTTTAATTGTTATATTACGAATGTCATTATTAAACTTAAAAAATGAATTGAATGATAAAATTCATGATAAAAATGCTTGTTAGTTTTTTAAAATTTTAATAAGATCATTGATAAGAATTTGAAACTTATAAAATAACCGGTAATCATTGTTTTATAAATTTAAAATAACTTATTAAATGATGGTCACTTGCCATTTAAGTTATTTTAAATTTATAAATGACAGATGATTTGATTATGCTACCTTGGCAGTAAATAATGGGGCAAGTACCTGTATTCCCGTTGACAGCTTTAGTTAAGACAAGTATTTCTAACCTCATCTAAAGTATTTTTAACTTTAAATTTGTGATTCATTATAAAAAGTTTGTAATTATTAAAACTTATCAAGTAAATGGAATTAATGAATTATGTTAATTTCTTTTTAGTGACAAATAGTATAAAAATTAACTGTAAAAATCAAAAAGAAATTATTTTTTTGCAGTTTCTTAATGTTTAGTTATTCAAATATTTACAATATGTAAATGAAATGAAATGATTTGTATTGTCAATGTGTCTATTTAACTGTTAAAAGATTTTCTGTTAATTTCAAGTCACTCTTTTTCACTTCTTTAAATAATTTTTTTTTGCTTGATGCAGATTTAAATACTTTTGATGATTACATGCCAAATAATTCCAGGGTAATAAAACTTTATGCATTAAAATTTTAACTAATTATCTTAATATATAAAGATTTTGCATTAATTTTAAAGAAAAACAACATAGACTGGAAACTGGTAAAATTTATGGTTTAACACTTTTTAAGACCCTGGCTTAACCATTAAAATGTGCTTCTAACAAAATATCCTGATGATTTTAAAATAATAACATCCTTCAAAAAATATATCAAAATTTCACATCAACATTCAGCAACAAAACTAATTTTGTTGCTTCAGAAACATTTATTTTACGTATAGATTTCATTTTGTGTAAAGACTTAATTACACAGACCCTGCTCCATCTACAATAGCCATTAAATGCTGGTTTGCTGCTTTAAAGGTACAAGTATGCGTAACAATTAATGTTATGAAAAGATCAAACAAACCCTTAAAATCATTATTGCCTATAGCCAAGACAAGAAGTTGTAGACAAATAATTAAAGTATGAAAAGTTTATCAATTTTATACTTTGTTTATTACCAGAACAAAAGCAATAATTGTTTTAGACATATTTAAACAAAATAGTCAAATGTTTTTGCATCAATACATTGCAAGGGATGAAACATTGCACTATATTTTAGTCTAGACTCAAATCCATAATCTTTGATGAGGTGAGAAGCTTGTGAAAGCTACTTAAAACAACACAAAACAAAACAATCATATGACAAGGTTTTAATGGGTTTCATATTTTGGCAGCTGATTTTCATAACTACTTTCATAACTAACGTTTTCATAAAAAATCAATCAACAACAATCATATTAGACTATTAGAGCATTCGAAAACCAAAATTACAAATAAAAAACCATACTTTATTAATAAAATTGTTTCATAAAGACAATGAATGTCAAAGCCACTAAAAAATATTGCTAATATTGCAAAAATTGTTTCGACACTCATAATATGGTCATGATCTGGCCCATAACAACAGTTTTCTCATTTGCATACTTGAAAAGATGCTACTTGGCAAGTGATTTAGCTCAGAAAATAATTCATTGGAAAAACCGAAACTTTTTTAGGCCCAAGATTTACTGTTCTAAAAAGACTATTTTGATTAGCAAAGACAAAAAAAAAGAACAAAAAGAACTTGATTAACTACTTTGACTTTGAATTTGATTAAGATTTTGAAAAATTTTGCTATTTTATTATACCCTTAAAAAAATAATTTTGACACATGTTACCTTTAAAAAATAATTTGCATAGTAAATTATTTTAAATCATCTGTCAAACACACTACAAAAAATCATTAAGATATTTAATAATAATTAAACAAAATGTCATATTATATATGTTATTAAAAGAAATAATTAAAAAAAAAATATTAAAACCTTCATTCCCATTCTCTTTTTCGTGTCATGTTCTGGTTCTAAACATATTCATTAAACCATATTGAATAATAAATAACATAAAATTTTATTTAAATTGATTTAATAATTTTTTCTTTAAAATAATAATAATAAAGCAAAGAGGTACACAATAAATTCCTTTATAATATGAATATATAACATAACAAAAGCTTTACCGCAGACTTCATATAAGTTTAAACAGTGAAATGACTTTATTTAACACATAATTTGCAGAATTTAAAATCCAATGAAAAAAAAATTAATGAAAACTAAACTAACCAGATGCCCACTTCAAAAATGTTGAAACATCTTTTGCCATCTGACTAACTGTTGCAGGAGTACCTATGGTATAGATAGTAAATACAGCATATATATATATATATATATATAAACAGACCTTAATCTGTTAGAGGTCGGCAGCAGGTCTGAAAAAAAAAAAAAAAAAAAAAGGTACTAAGGTGTTAACATAAAACATAGAAACGAGGTTGGCTATTTTTTTCTGACCTAAATCACTTCTAGGTTGGCATTTAGGTCAAGTTGATTATAAAACAAATGACTGAGAGGGTTTGTGATTATCTAATTGTTAATATGATATTTGACATTATCAACTCTTATACAGGCCATCTAACAGCAACTTGCATTGTTATACAAGATAAAATAAAATGAGCAGACCTGGATTTGATTGGAATAAGGTCAGTATAAATGGGTAGAAACTCGGGTCTGTGAATAATATTAAATATTGTTTAAATATTTAAGTAGTGATAAGGCAAATATTGTCTTCTTTCGGCCCTGATCATGTAGATTTTATTTATATAACACGGCATTGTTTTCTTTTTTTTAAATGACAAATAAATTTAAAAAAAAAAAAAATGTATTTTTGTTTAATTTTAATATTTGATATTTTCTGATCTGTTGTGATCATCATTATTAGATAAAGAAAATAGCTGTTAAGCACACAACTTGTTTTCAAGAATTATCACAATCGCTCTATTCAATAAATCAACCTCATATGTTTTTAAACATTTTAAATGCGCAAAAATTTTCCATAAATTACACTGTTGAACTCAAAAATCACTAAAAACAACTAAATGTTCTCCCTATTAAAGTCAGTCTATGTATTTACCTTGGCTTATACTGTGGTGCATAGATCATCCAGACCATATTTTAAAAATCCTCAAAAATTGTTTGGGTAAAATATCCGGAAAAAACTAGAATATATTTTCCTCTTAATTTTGCTTAGAGCTAAGTTGTTTCCGATCTTTTTTTTCAAATTATTCTCAAATTTGTATGAGTGGTGAGTGAAAAAGTTTAAAAAAGAAATATATTACAAAAATATATGCATAAACTTGTATGTGTAGAAAATGTTTTGTATATCCGGAAAAACTAAAAATTAAGAAAAACATCAGGAGTTCTGAAAATATTCGGAAAAAGATCCCTGGTGATGATGAATTAGAGGTTTTTAAAAATACTAGTGACTCTCAGATAAAGAAAATCAAAAAAACTATTTTAATTCATTTAAATATAATTTAGTTAAATATAAATTAAATATTAATTAAATGTAAATATTATTAAAATTAATTCTTTCACATCTATGCAGAGGAACCTAAAAATTGTTTTAGGTTCCTCTGCAATTATCAAATTATTCTCAAATTTGTATGAGTGGTGAGTGAAAAAGTTTAAAAAAGAAATATATTACAAAAATATATGCATAAACTTGTATGTGTAGAAAATGTTTTGTATATCCGGAAAAACTAAAAATTAAGAAAAACATCAGGAGTTCTGAAAATATTCGGAAAAAGATCCCTGGTGATGATGAATTAGAGGTTTTTAAAAATACTAGTGACTCTCAGATAAAGAAAATCAAAAAAACTATTTTAATTCATTTAAATATAATTTAGTTAAATATAAATTAAATATTAATTAAATGTAAATATTATTAAAATTAATTCTTTCACATCTATGCAGAGGAACCTAAAAATTGTTATAGTTTATCAAAGGTCAAAAACAGAATTTTTAAAATATGATTTTAAACAAAGATTTCAAAAGTTCAGCATATCATAAAAATTGTCTATAGGCTATTGGTATTGGTATAATTGTCTATTGGCTGTTGGTAGGAACATCATTATTATTACTTTGCATTGTAAACATAGTCCAACTATGTTTACAATCTGTTTTTGTACCTTATCTAAAAGAGAAAGAACATCATTGGAAGATCTGCCCCAGATATAGCAACATTATTCCATACAAAGATGGATTTGAAATTTATAAAGATAAAGAATAGAATTCGGAGTAAGAAAGTATCAAGCACAATAAAGAGATGCAACCTTAGCAGATGCTAAACTTGGAATTGATATAATATATATAGTTTCCAAAAAAGATCGAAAGTAAGTGTTAATTCTAGAAGTTGAAGGGTAGATGACTCATCAAGTGTATTACTGTTCATAAATATAGAAAGATCTAGATTATTGCAATAACAATTAGTTGAAAAAATTGAGTGTTCTCTGAGTTAAAGTTCATCAGCCACTGAGAGCTCCATGCTGTAGAAAAAGTGAGATCCTTCTCAAGCTTCTCCAATGCCTCCTCCAACCAATCAGAGAGTGTTGACTTTTTATCAAGACAAGAATAAATGGTCATCACCAAACAATGCCACCTTTGATGTGCAAATTTTTGGAAGATCATTAATGTAAATTAAAAAGAGTATAGGGCCAAGGATAGAACCCTGAATAAAAATACCATAAAAAGGTTTGCTAAACTTAAATGTAAAGGCAACAAGTCAGCAAAATAAATATTTCTATTATACTAAACTTAAATTCTTTGACAGGTTTTAAATTTTATTTAATAATCTTTTAGAGTTTGAAAATCACAATCATGTGAAATTTACAACTCATTTTGGAAAGAGTTTTACATGGTACTAACTTTTGAACTTTAAAAGATAGTTAAATGAAACTTAAAACCTGTTGATGTAACTAAATTTATTATATGTTAAAAATAAGCTTTATTAACTTATTTTCCTCATATTCAAGATAGGGAGACAAAAAAATTTTTTTTTTTTTTTTTTTTTTGGTTTTAGGCTTTAATGACCACAATTTTTCTGCAAACTATTATAAGCAAGAGTGTTAGGAGTTTGCACAATGCCTGAAAGTGTCTGAAACATCAAAAAATCAGATCAAAAAACCAAATAATACTATTATTTAATCAAAAAATCAAATAATACTATTGTTTAATAAAAATCTATGATCGTTTTGATTTAATAAAAATCTTTGATCGTTTTCTCTATTTATTAATTTATTACTAATTTGATCTATTGCCAAATTTGTTTGCTCCAATGGAAATTAAATAACCAGTTATTCTTAATATCATTTATTAAAACTTTGCTTTAGGGTTTAAAAATCAAACTTTTACATTTTATCACTGTTTTTCACCATAAAGTTAAATTTTTTTACAATGTTTTAGGCATAATACAACAACTTCAATGTTTTTTTTGTAATAAGGTTAATAATTATAAAGTTAATATTAGGAAATAGTAGGAAAAATATAACGCAGCGAGTTTTATAGTTTTTAAAATTATTTTTAACTGTATTTTTTATCACTAAACTACTTATTGTCCAGTATTGGCAGCAGAATTATAAATTAAACAATTAATAATTTTTGATGATAATAAATTATTGAGATAAAATCAATTGTTTATTTAGGTATTATTAAATTTTAAACATTCTCAAATAAAACTTGATTTCCGGCACATTTTGTATGTTAAGCATTTCCAGACTATTCCAGACTATCGATTGCAATTTACTTTAATCTTAAAACAGTTTCTTTAAGAAGTTATTTTTAGACAAATTCACTTCCAAGAAGACTACACGCAACCACTAATTAAATTGGGAGTTCACAGAAACAAAAAAAAAAAAGAAGCAAGTAGGCAATTGACAGAAGAATTAAAAAACTGTAAATTTAATGTGTCATGAAAATATGAAGATGGAAAAGAATTCCAGAGCATCAATGTTTAAACAAAAAAACTTAACAAAAGTTTTTTGAGCATTAATAAACTTTTAAAATAATAGGATACAAACTAGCTGAGTGGCAAGTCACAAAGAATTGAGTTTTGATAGGTGGAACAAATGATAATAGGTCACTTGAGCAGCAGTCTTACAATGACGGAAAAGAGATTCAAGCTCAGCAGCATGAGTCAACAAACTTGCAGTAAAAACAAGTTCAACAACATTTACAACACCAAGCAAAATTAGAATAATAAAACACGATGCATGTGGACATTTTTATCTAAAAAATGATATAAAAGTTTTTCTAAAAAGTTTTAGTTAATTAGTTTAATATTTAGTAACTTTTTTTAGTAACTTAATTTTAGTATTAATATTTAGTAACTACTTTAAAACCTTGTTTCGAAAATTCAAATTTAAATTTAAAATTTAAATTTGATCGAAGATTGGGTGAGAATAATTATTTTTATTACATTCATAAAAATTTTACGAAATACACTAAAATAATATATATATATATATATATATATATATATATATATATATATATATATATATATATATATATATATATATATATATATATATATATGTATATATATATATATATATATATATATATATATATATATATATATATATATATATATATATATATATACATGCAAATAATTTTAAATGTATTCTACAAATTGGCAAAAGAAAGGAGCAATAATAAATTGATAGAATATCACTTATAAAATTTTTTTTATTTATTTTTTATTTTCATTAAAAAAAGCATACCATCATCATACTCCATTACTCCAGGATATAACTGCTGTGGCATTGCAATAGCTTGTCCTGGAAAATAAACATTATAGCTCATCCCCTCTTGCAATTTAACACCAGCTGGAGGTTCTTCTCTGTAACCAGTCAGTAATGCAAATATATAATCCTAACATAAAAAATTGTAATATTTTTCAAAAACATAAAATATTTGTTATTTGATTTGTAATTTCTTGTAAAACTTGATTTAACAGTTAAGTATAGAAAGTAAAGCTTTTTAAAGTTTCAAAACTAAATTTTTTCATTTGAGTATGTAGATAATGATGTAACCATTTCAAAATAAATTTTATATCTATTTTTTACAATGTTTTCAGTTATTTTTAGAAATAGTATTATATAACTTAAATAGCAACTAGTAAATACAATATAGTAATTATAATAATTATCTGAGATCTGACCTGTAAAAATACAGGTCTTTGTAAGTCTATTCTAAACCAAACTTTTCTATACCTTTTCCTTATATATCTTTATATAAAATATGGGTCTTCACCAATTATTTCTATACCTATTCCTTATTGACTTTAATACTATTTAGTAAAATAATTTTGTTCTGAAAAAAAATTTTAGGAGCAAAAAAATTAACAGCACACCTTTTCCGCATACGTAGAGCTTATAAGAGACTTATAACTAGGTTTGTTTTTCTGCTAAATGCATTTCGTTGATAGCTCAGTGGTTAAATGCGCTGTCATCAGTGTTGTTTTGAGTTTAAGACCTCCTCTTTGCATAATAAATATTAAAATTTTTTAAATCTTGGTTGTATATATTTTAGCAAAATAATAATAATATAGCAAAAAAGATTTCTAAAATTTAAAATAAAATTTTAAAGTTTTCTTATTTTATAATATTAAACACTGATCTAAAAGTTAAACAAAAAAAGTTTTGCGCATTGACGTCGGTTTGTGGCAAAGTAAACCTATATGGGTCAAGTTTCTTTTGTATTTATCTTTCTTGCCATTATTTCGCTTGCAATGGCTGCCAAGGGTATCGTGTCAAACAGGCTCGAAAACGCACTACTAATAAGTTTATTAAATAGATTATATTAATTTGATAATAAAAACTTTGCTATACAAAAAAGTATTAGGCAGTATAGATATGTAATGTAATAATAGACGGCTTGCCTTATAAGCAAGAAACTCTGCTATACTTATATTGAAGCAGGGCTGTGGAGTCGGATTTGCAACATTTTTAGCAGAACCAGAGTTGCTAAAAAAAAAATGCAACTCCAACCCCGACAGTAAAATTTCTTGGTATAACACGTGCATGTCACTGAAGTGTTAACAACGTTTTGAGAAGTTTCTTTTATTTATTATGAAAAATAACTACAATATGTGAGAAATCTGCTGAATGGGAAAATTTTTATCAAAAATAACGACAGGCAACTCAAAAAGCTGGTTACTTTTAGTCACCCTTTTGGTGACCAACCAAAAGTCCAAGTGTACATCACCGTATGCATGTATGTATGTATGTATGTATGTATGTATGTATGTATGTATGTATGTATGTATGTATGTATGTATGTATATATATATATATATACACATATATATATATATATATATATATATATATATATATATATATATATATATATATATATATATATATATATATATATTACTTTTTTATTAAAAAAAAATTGTAGTAAGACTAAATGGTCTTATCACAGACCAATGGGGAACAGCATTAAACCAGAAAGAACCTGTCTTCTTTTTAGTATGTCAATCATTTTGCCAGAGTTGGCATCAAATCTCATGGCTCAGAATTAAAACTAACTTTTACTAACCATTAATATTTAGATATAAATTTAGAAATAAATGTTAAATTTTAGAAGTAAAAAAATTATTTAAGTATTAAAAAGAATTTGGTAGAGATCTCCAGCTCTGGTAATTTGAAGATTTCAATTTATTCCTTTTTTAAACAAAGGTGTTTAACAGTTTTTTTCTTTCGAAAATCAGGTAGTTTCATTTTCAGTAGATTTTTTTAATTATTAATGAATATTTTAGACCCTTTTTGACATAGTTGACTAAATTTGGGCAAACTTTAGGAGCCACACAAAGTCAAAAATTGAGGACTTTTTTTTTTTTTACGGCATTGTAAATATTGTTTTTTTTTTATGAGAAAATGTCTTAGTTTAGCAATGTTTCTGCTAAATGTCCTTAACCAGGCGCCGGCACAAGGGGTACCACTGCTAAAACTATTCTTCTAGAATAGTTCTTGGATTGTTACACAGATTAGATTCTTTGAATATATATTCACATTTTAATAAATGAACACCATAATTTTTGCATAATAAGTCAACTTAATATAAATTTCTTTTATTTTATAAAAAAAGGGCTAAGAAACTTTTTTTATTGTATTTTTCTTTCTTTAATTAATGCCAACACCTCCATGTAAAAATAAAAGAGTGGGCATTACTAATATTATAAAACACAGCATTACTACTTATAAAAAAGATGCTGTTATAAATAATAATGATAGAACTTTATTATTTGTAAAAAAAAATTAAAAATAATGATAGAATATTAATATTTACAACAGCTGTGTAATGTCATGGTTGACTACTAGTAGGGTTTAAATCCCTAAAAGAATAGTTGATTTAAAAAAAAAATTGGTAGTCAGTTGCCAATAGTAGAACTAGACTACTAGCTACAACAAAGTATTTAATGCTTTTTTTCACACATTACTAATCTTGTAGGTATCTGAAGGACAACTACAAGATTGGCTAAATAAAGGCATTTTTTCGCATAAAATACAAAACAATATTTGCAGTATTAGATTTTGTTAAAAAAAAAGGACCTTAATTTTTGAATTAGAACTGTTATAAACCTACTGATACACCACATTCATTTTTAATTATTATTATTCATTTAAATTATGTTAATTGAAAAACAACAAATAATTAGATTAATATCCCCCCCCCCCATCAAAATTATACACAAACTTAATAGAATCAAAATCATACACTAAGGAGCTATCCATAAAGGACGCCACCATTTTTTAGCCAGTTTTTGACCCCTCCCCCCTTTGTCACCAGTTGTCCTTTTTCCCTATACCCCTGGAAAGGGACGTCATAAAATCTTGACTCCCCTCCCTATTTTTAACTCAAAAAAAATTTATTTCATTTTGCAATGATGTTTGAATCTGCTGCTACACCTTTGAAAAATAAAATTATAAATATTCTCATACATTATCTTCTCAAAAACACATGTTTACGTAATTTTCCATGTTAATTAAACTAAAATAAAAAATCTATAAAGTGACGTCCTTTTCTGACCCTTCCCCCTCCCTTTGTCCTTTTAACTCGACCCCCTCTCCCCTTTATTTGGATGACATCCTTTATGGATGGCCCCTAACTTAACAGAATCAAAATCAAAACACTAACTATATAATAGAATTGATCTAGCTTTCAAAAAAAAATTGTTTCTTATTATCCAGGTTATATTTATTCTTATTATCCAGATTATATTTAAAAAATCGGGAAAAAAAAAACACCTGGAAAAAATTCAAAATGCATTTTGTGTAACTAAGAATAAGAATTACCTCATGTGTTTGAAAAGACATTATTTGTACGCGCATACAATTAATATAAACACTATTTGTATACACATGTAAAGTATACTACATTTTACCACAAAAAATGTTTCAAATAAGTAAAATAGCTGCATAGTGCTGTAGATGTTACAATTATAAAATTATTAGGAGCTGTTGACAAAGTGACTGGTTCCAATCCTCCATAGAGAACTTTTTTTTTTTTCAAATTAAAGTTTTATTCCTCAGTAGTTTTACGTTTTTTAAATATTGTTGTTCATCTTTTTTTTTTTTTTAAACTTTTATAGAAAAAGTGACATAAATTAACTATTATAGCCGTGACAGTTGTAAAACTGAGGGTTTAGGTTTTGGTAGGCATTTTTTTATATTAAAAAAATATATATTTCTGGTGAATTTTTGCTTTATTTACAAATCTGGGCTGGATTAAATAACCAAACTAGAAAAATTTAATTAATTTAATTAGTTGGCTAATATAACTTCTGTTTAAACTCTCATTTATCTGTTTAATCTCTCTGTTTATCTGTTTAAACTCTCTGTTTAACCATCTGTTTAATGTAAATCATTTGTTTAATGTAAACCATCAGTTTAAACTCTCAACAAGCATTACTTTTTTTGATCAAACTCTCTCTCACACACGCAGATCAGAATTACTGTTCTTAATTTCAATATTCAAATTTGGAAATCTCTATTTCTATCCTCTCAAACCTGTAAATAGTAAAAACCATTTGTGATTGCAATTAGGAATGGCTTCAACTTTATTTTGTCTAACCCAACTTCAAATTCAACTTATTATTTTAGATAGACGAAACTAAAGTTTTAAACGAGCGAGACTTAAAAAAAAAAAAATTACTAAAAATGCAACATATAAATATAAAAAATGAGAATACCTCACAACCATGTCTTGCAGGTACAATCCAACTTAAATCAGGGGGATATGCACCATTATTTGCAGCTCTTGCTTCTTCTTCGTTTCTATAAGGCTTTGGGAAATAATCAAAAAGTTTACCAGGTCGTAAAAACATATCACCCTTTTCATTTGGACCATCAGTTACTTGAACTTGGGATGCAAGCTCAATAACCTCCTCTTCTGTATGAGATACACCAACTAAATTTCTGAATGCTATTTGATCCATACTATGACAAGCTACACACACTTGTTTGTATACTTGATAACCTCGACGAATACTAAAATATAACTTTTACAATTTTTATATTTAACAACAAAAAAATTAAGTGAACATTAAAGGTATAATACCTTGCATGATCCAATGAGTCTAGAAGACCACTATGTGACCACCTATGTTTTGGAGGATGCAAACTCAGTGCTTCTGCTCCAAGAGGGAGTTGATACAAAGTATAACCAAGTCCTAAAGCACTGGTTGCTAAAGCACTTGCAGATAGCCAAGACTAAACACAATATAAAAATATATACACAAAATTAAAGAAAACAATAAAATATATATATATATAAAAAATAATTTATAATAAAAGTTCATACAAATTATTATAAAATACTACTTTAAAATTTGTTCACATATTTTTTTTTAATTATAATTGCTTTAATTATAATGATTAATTATCGATCGATTAGACCTGATTATATGCAAGGTCTAAAAATGACTAGAGATTTAAAAAATGAGGTCTAAAATATGACTAGAGATGGTAGTCAAAATGTTTTTGAGTATTTCCAGGGGCATTTTGGACATACATGCTATTCAGGGATTCTAGAGGGTTTTTGGCTATTTCTATTTCTAGAGGGTCTAGAGGGTCTTTGGCTATTTATATTTAAAGAAATTTTCAAGAAAAAAAAATTGAGAAACTTAAAAGTAATTTGTGACCATAAATTTTAAAAGTAAAACATTTTTTGGAGACAAAAGATATTTTAAAGTTATTTTTTATGTTTACTTAAAAATTAATTTTAAAATATTTGACATTTTTTTAAAATGGAAAACAGTAAAATGTTAAAAGTTTAAAAAAATAAATTAAAAAAAGGAAATTCTAATTGACTGAGGATGTAAATCCTATATGACTGATAATTTTAAAAATCATGCTATAAAAACATTTGTTTTGTTTTCAGTTTAATGTTTTGGTAATGCATTATTAGCTTTTTTTGGTTTAGCTACAAAGTAAACCATACAATCTTATATCATTTGTTTTAGATACAAGATAACCAAATAAAAACATAAATTAACCTTCAATGACTTAACTAAACATTTAAAAACATGAAATGATATTTGTACAATAAACTAGTGAACTTTCACAAATTATAGTTTCATAAAAGAGAACATGTAAAATACACCATTTATTATTTATTTTATAAGATGTTTTATAACATTACTTTTATAGAAGGTGTTAAATTATAATTTGTCTTTTTATGATAAAATTAGGCAATTTGACTTTAAATGACCATTAATTTTTATGTAAAAAAGAAAGGATAAATTACAAATAAAGACATTTTTAAATTGAGAAAACTATACTCTGAAAGCACAAATAATATTCTCTCAACTGATACATAATAGCTGGAACTTCACAGCTGTGGTTTGAGAAATAAGATAAAAAATTTTAATTATAGCTTTTTTGCTAATATTAAATATCATTCTTAAATTGACAATGTTGAACAGCTGCAGGAAAGCGTCAGGAGGTCTAAAAAAAATCATTTAAGAATAGGGGTGTTCAAGTAACGGAAAAAAATTACCCAAGTAATTTTAAGTAATTTTTTTAATTACTTAAGTAACTTAAGTAATTTTTAGTAATTTTAGTTTTTTTCCAAATAATGAAATATTAAATCTAATATTATATTCTTGTGTGATATAGGTACTACAAAAATTTTTTATGATTTGTTATACCTATTTCACAAAAATATTATAAATATTTGTGTGAAATAGGTATAACAAATCATAACCTAAATTAACTTCAAGATAGAACACTAAAAACATTAAATTTCTATCCATTTATCACTGAAAGATGTACTCAAATTTATAACAAAATAAAAAAAAAAGATTAGAGCACAACTTTTTGTTATATATATATATATATATATATATATATATATATATATATATATATATATATATATATATATATATATATATATATATATATATATATATATATATATATATATATATATATATATTTAAATTTATTTTAGCTAAATACTAACCATGCTACTATTACTAAAAATTGATAACATAAACATCGCAAGAACTGCGATGTTTATGTTATCAATTTTTTTATTAATTAAATTTCTTGGGATAATTATTGATCAAAAGATTTCTTGGAAACCCAAATAAAAACATTAAATACAAAAAATATCAAAAGTATCGACATACTCTACAAAGTCAAACTTATACTTTCCCAGGAAACCTTCAATTCCCCAGAAACCTAAAAAAATCTCTATGTTTCTTATATACAAAGTTATCTAACATGTGTTAATATTGCCTGGAGAACTACAAATAAATCTAAACTAAATTTTCTATTTATACACCAAAAACACGCATCAAGATTAATATAAAATAAAAATAAATTCACTCATGCCCATCCTTTACTTAAAAACTTGAATGCTTTAAATATCTATCAAATTAACATCTACCAAAATATTTTATTTATGCTCAAATATAAGCTCAGACTTGTCCCAACTCATTTTACTAATAACTATTGCAAACAGATATATCACACAAGGAACAGAAAACTTCACATTGCCCATTAAAAAAAAATTTTTGTTGAGATTTTTAATTGTATATCAACTAAATATATGGTTTTAAATGAAATCTACAGGTACCCACAAATTTAGAGAAAAAAATGTCAGCTGACGGAAAATTCAAAAGAATAATAAACAAACTTGTATGTTGTATGTTGTGTGTTGTAACTTTGTATATTGTATGTTGTGCATGGTAAATTTGTATGTTGTGTGTACATCGGTTAGAAAGGAGGCAGGCTAAAGATTAATAAATAAACCTGTATGTTGTGTGTTGTAAAACTGTATGTTGTGTGTACATCGGTTAGGAATAAGACCTTCAAGTCTTATTACAGAACACCGCAGAGAAGCATTTAATAAGAAGTTCACACCTCCTTCCTAACTGATGTAGAAAAACTTTTCCAGAGGTGGGTTTCAAATCCCGGATCACTGGAGTCTGAGACAAACATACTAATAACTGCGCTAAACGGCTGCGAATTGATGATGTTGGTAAAAACTTAAAAGCACAGTGCAATTTAGTTTAACATTTTTTAGTTTAACATTGGAGGCATCACATTTAACTGTTGATGCTTTAGGATATTTAAGATCATAAGAAAGACATTAATGCTGTCTCCTAATAAAAATTTGTTATGATTTATAACTTAAATTTTCTTTTGATAGTCTAAACTAATCTTTTTTTTTCAAGAAAATATGGTAAACCCAAAATCATTAAAATTTTAACTAAAAAATTATTGCACTTTTATTTTAGGGTACAAATTTGAAAATTGGACAATTTTTATATAAATTTTTATAAAATACCAATTTTCTGATGATTTAATTTTAAAAAAATTACTTGAATTTTTAATTATTTAAGTAATGCAAAACATCTTAAGTACTTGATTATCAAATAATTACTTAAGTACTCAAGTTACTTGAAACACCCCTATTCCAGAATATGAAACTAATCATGTGAAACAATCCGGAAACAATCTAGATCATTTATAAGTTCTAAAAATTTGAAAAAAAGCCACAACTGGGTCCCAATTAAAAATAAAATAAAAAGTTAAAAATATCAGATATGTTGGTTTTTTCCTGTTGAATATTTTTTTTTGAAGTAGAAAAAATTATTTTTTGTGAAAAACAATGATTTAAGTTCCAAGTACCATTTATTAAAAAATATATACTGTTGCGCTTTTACTTGCCTCATGACAAAAAAGTTAATCGTGCACTTTATAATCATTTATGATGCAGTATTATAACCTTAATTTTATAACCGTAAGTTAATATTCACAGTATTTTGATGCCAACATCTTTTAGCGAGTGTCATCACCTTTAGGCATTCAACAATTTATAATATCGGTTTAGGGCGAAAATAGCTTGATCTATTTAACACTTTTAAAGTGTTAATATTTCTTATGTATATTATTTTATTTAAATTTTAACTTTCATTTTATTTAAATTTTAACTTTCATATCATTCAACTTTCATATAGAATATAGATATATAAAAATCATGGTTTTATCTTGTTCTGCATATAACTGCACTTGAAGATATACTAAAGGGGTTTCTTTTCATGGGTAAGTAGTTACAAACTGTTCTTTGCTAAGATCCTATATAATATTTCAAATTTAAATAGTATATAATTTTAATATCCCTATTAAATATTTTTTTTGTTAGTAGTTTTCCGAAAGGAATTGAGGAGAAAATGGATACAAGTTATGCGGAGAGATGATTTTACTCCTAGAAAACAGTCTTTCCGGTAAATGTTTCACAAGTGACTATTATGAAGGAAGTCTTTGGTATTCACAAAAGAAACTAAAACATGACGCAATTCATTCTATATTTGATTTCCCAACACAATTGAGAAAAAGTACTTATCCTAGAATACCACCAAAAAACAGGCAAAGTATTAATTTCAAACAATATCCCTAATAATTAAATACAATAAGTCTAATGTAACTAACCCTTTTGCAATGGCATACATTTATTTAAAATTTTTAAGTTTACATTTTGTAACATAATACCTATATTTATTTTTAGGAACAATAACCTTGACTATTATATCATTAAAGGGATCCCAAACTCCTAACACATGTTGTGTTCATATTAAAGATAATGTTAAAAAAAAAAGTTTAAACCAAGTTTTTTTGATTAAAAATAAATAATGAATGCATACCGAGAAAAACTAATGTTGTTGTTTTAGCCAAAGCTCGCCTTCTCCATTTTTTTTGATAACTCAGAGTCTTTAAATTATACATCGCAATCTACAGACTTTAGCGATTCCTTTGAAGCGCGTTTAATTCAAAAAAGTTTTAGCATTTGACGTCGAGGTAGATTTTTAACAAAAGAAAAGTATAATTAAACAAAGCTGCGTTTTTCTATTTTAATTCAAAAAAAAATTTTAATATACAGCAGAACAACTTTTACAACAAATTTTTGTAAAAATCAAAAATAATAAAAGCTTTTTATTTCATAAAAGGAACTTTTTTAATAATTATTTTTAAATAATTTTTAGATTTATACACGGTATACGGTCTCTCGTTTTTGTGCAAGAGAGCGCAGTATTATATATTCTGAGTCTTATTTTTATTTAAACAATGGGAACTTTTTTCTAACTTCTCTGGTTATTTTTACACTATGATATTTTTTGTTTACCGGTCAAAAAAAATATTAACAATTAATTTCATAAACTGACAGTATTAATTATATATGATGAATTGTTAACTTTTTT